CACTTATCAAACCGATAATTCCTTGGCTCGCAGTAGTTACAACTATACAATGCCTTATTGATCTTCTGTCAAAAAGTGCTGCAGTCCATTAGGCTTCGTGAGAAATATATAAGCAGACTATTCCTCATCTAGGGCTTCCATGAAAATAGCTAGGGGTAACTAAAGTTAACCTAAATACTTGGTCTAGGGATTTTTCATAACAGATTAGGGTTAAGCAAGGTTGACCTAATGTCCACATGAGCAGCTGATCTGGACAATAATTCTTCAACTCAGAGCAGCACACCAGTTTCCTGAAAAATCTCAGGAATAATAAATCTGCACAACAACTTGATCAATACAGGATGTTTTAACATTGGTTATGACATCATGTATCTTGCTCACTGATTTTGGTAGAATTCAATATATATGATCATAGCTTAATGATCCTGATAATCACTCATACTGAGTAGTTCCTGTAGAACATTCTTTTTTGTAGAATGTACCTTTATCCCAGAATGTTATGACATCAGTCATGACATTCGCAAATCTGGTTTTACCAAAAAAATGCCAACAAACAAACACTTACAAACTCCCCCTTTGGCAAATTTTTGGCTAAAACCCCTAAACAATCAGAGATTAGAAAGCAGCAGAATTTTTTAATAACAGCTACCAATATCTAAATCTACCAAAATTACCACAATTTCTTCTCCCCCTTTTTAGCCATAAAGAGGCCAAAGATACTTGTACTTTAATTTATACAGTCATCCAAAAGGAAATAAAGAAAAACACAGAAATAAAAAGAAGGCATCATTTGGCAGCAACAAGTTCCAGCAGCAATCTTTTCAGCAAACACAGACCTTCAGGTACTGTCATCCCCTGAGGAAGCACTATTTTCAGCAGCATTATGCTGGTCTTCATCAGCATCCTCTTCCCTTATTTGTTCTTCATTCTCCTCATGTTCCAGTCTAGCAATCAGCTCTTCAAGAGTCCTTTTTCTTGCATCAAGCTCTCTGCAGGTTTCTTTTAGAACAGCCATAACATCAGTTTTCTTGGAATGAGTTTTGACATTTGATGTCTCAGCAGATGTCATAATAATGTCAGGGACATGTGTTCCCTGAAACAGCTTATAGTAAAAACCAAGTGCAGGGGCTCTTTTGCATATAGAGTCTTTTTCAACCAGAATATCAGGATACTGATCAATGATTATACCACACAGGAGAGAGGGAAAAGCAATAGGGCCTTTAATAGCACAGCTCCCAGCATGTTTCAATGTTTGATCAAAGATGTACTTGCCATAATCAAAGTTTGTTCTGGTTCCAACAGCATAGATAAATCTTCCCAAACCTGTGGAAATGGTGGATTTGTGGTTGGTGGGAACCCAGTTAGATGCACCAATTTTGTGCAGTATGGAAAACTTCATGCTCAGCTTGCTTGCAGTTAGCTTCCCTTTCAAGGGCCAGTGCTTGACTTGATTGGCAGTGATGGTTTGACAAAACTGGTTGTCAGTAACTTCAAGTTCAGGTTGAGCATCATCAAGTCTTCCTAGGAATTTGTTTATCACAGTAGGAGAGAAATTTACCTTCCTTCCTCTCACATAAACACTCTTAAAGTCAGCTGACTTTCCATCAGCACAACCATCAGACAAATTTACTATGAATTCTTTGACAAGAATCTCATAGCAGTTGGAAAACTTGGCCACAGTTTTCATTAGGCCAGCAGCTTTGATTAGATCCATGACTTCCTTACACTCAATAGCACTGCTGTTCAGCTCTCTCTCCAAGGCAATCCTTTTCAGAAACACATACTTCCACCTGCTTGCATTTTCTGGATGGTGAAAGGAGATGTTGTCAATGGCAACTTCAGGAACCTTAGGCAGTTTGCTAGAAGAGGGTTTCTTCCTGAGAGGAATGTCTGGAACATTTCTCTCAACATCAAAATCAAAGTTTGATTCCTCATCAGATTCAGAGGGTTCAGGATCCTTTCTTTTCTTGGCTATAGCTTGTCTCAAAGGTTTTGAGAGACTACCAATAGGTACTCTAGCTTTTACCTTCCCCTTCCCTTTAGACGTTCCAGCTTTTTGATCCTTCTCAGCTTCTACTCTAGCCTTGTTCTCAGGCCTAGTTTTCTTATGAACAACTTCAGTAGCCTTCTCTTTGGATGGGCTTTGGGCAGCATTCTGCTTTTCTTTTCTACTCATCATCCTTCTATCTATGCTAGGGTTGATATTAGCAATTAAATCATTGTCAGAAAATTCTTCATCAACATCAATAACAGGAGGTTCAATAGCCTTGTTAGTAGGGTTCTGGTGATCATCAGGTTTTTCTGGAGTTTTCCTAATGTTGTCATCAGGTGTCTCAACATTCTGAGTGACATCTGGATCCCTTTCTACATTAGGGCTAGCAGTTTCTTGGTTCAAAGGAACAAATATGCCAGGAACAGAGTGATTCTCATTAAGAATCCTAGTGACTAGTCTGGCAATAGCTTGATGTACATAAGCAGAACCTTCCCTATTAGCTATCTCTGGAGGAACAGAAGATGATGGTTGAGAAGATTTACTAGATGGAGAAGCTTGTGATCTTCTTGCATGTCTGGTTCGCAGCTTCTTGACCTTAGTAGGATCAGCTGCCATTTCACGAAGAGGAGTTATCTCAAGAACATCAGCATCCATGCAATTTACAATTGCCCTAGGTTCGGTGTCAGAGGGTGAGTAAGAAGCAGCCGCCTTTGATGAAGATGATGACATGGATTGTTGGAACATCTCGAGAGATTTAGAAAACAAGTAACAGCGAGTGTGAAATCTTCGTTTGAGGGAATGGAGATTGTTGCAGAAAAGCGAGAGAAGGGAGATATATGAATGTCTATTCCACTTCTTAAAATTTTGGAAAGAAAGAGGGAAACAAATGATTAGCCCAATCAGAATAGACTTGACTAATATATCTCTTTCATCCCTTGTTTTAAGAAAAATTAATTGCTACATCTCTTCATATTGGCAAATACCCAGCTTGCCCCTTAAATTTTCAAACTGACTAGCATCAAGTGCCTTGGTAAAAATGTCAGCCAGTTGTAGTTTAGTGGCAACATGTTCCAGCTTAATCACCTTTTCCTCCACAAGATCTCTGATGAAGTGATATCTAATGTCAATATGCTTAGTCCTGCTGTGCTGTATAGGATTCTTGGAAATGTTAATAGTACTCAGATTGTCACAGTATAATGTCATGACATCTTGTGTGACATTATTGTTGCACCCCAAAATTTGCCCTCCTAATTTCTTTTATTTTGGCTTAGACTTTTTGCATTCATCTGCATCTATTTCATTACGTCACTAACATGGCATACATTTCATTCGATATAGCTCTAAGGTTCAAAGTTCAGTGGTTGTGCGATACTAGAGTTTCACAGTGGTTAAGGCGCTCATATCTAATAAAGGACTTCTTCCCCCTCAAGCAGCAAGGCTATTATTTTCTGATAAACAACAGATTACAGGTTTTTTTGTCAAGAACTCATGGGCGTGACTTAGAATACATGGTTTTCGAATCAAGACATCCCCTCATACAGGTGTGCCTATCATTTGATCAGGCTTAATGACTTTTACATGGCATTCATCCACTCTTCAATTAACCAATTTAGGTTTGGTCGAATCATGGTTCAGAGAATCATTGGTTGTGAAGCTCGGGTTTTCTTTTGGTTCGAGTTGTTTATCAAACAAGACTGATTCTTCTGGTACATTGAATTGTGAATTTAGGGTTTTGATTGATGGTTGTTGTGGATTTCTTCTTTATCAAGCTACGAGGTTATTCTCTTCATCTCAAAAATCAAGTTGCAAGGTTTTATTTGTTAAGTCTGAAAATTTGGGTTTATTTCCCTATGTCTGTTGGAAGATAATGCTTTGTTTCATTTCGAAGACATTTTGAACATTATTCTATCCATGTCTCAAGTCGTTACTGCACACCTAATACAGGTGGGTTAAAGTTTTGCATTTTGTGTGTGAGTTTGTTGATGTTCGTCAATAAGAAATGATTAGAGGATATCTTTCTATGATTCAAATTTTATCTTCTTCAAGGATCTCTCAAAGACATTTTTGACAAGACAAAGGACTTGTGGGGTGGAATTGAAAAGTACGAGGTCATGACATAAGAATTGGTACCATAGATTCACGTTGATCAAGGCCATTTTTGTTCTCATCATTGTTAGTTTTTGCTCACAATACAAGTCAAGGTGGATTAGTAGTTTTAAGGATATCTTGGTTATACTTCTTCCATATTTCCATCCTCGTTATCGATTCCTCAAAACATTATACTTGTGTGAGAATGAGCTTCAGTTTTGTTCAATAATTTGATTCAAGCAAAATTGGAAGATTCCAGCGAGACTTCGTGGATAAAAACCAACTTAACTCTTGTGGAATAAATTATTCCATATTTCGTGATTTAGAGGTTATTTGAAAACTATTGGATATACTTGACATCTAAAGATATTTTAAAATATGAGAAAAGCATATGTGAAATCAAAGGTTCGAATAAAAAAAAAACAAGTTTCATTACTATCATTGCATATTTGTTCGAAATTACCGCACTCTATTAAGAAACAAGCCAACGTCGCGCGTCTTGTAAGAGAAGAACTCGACAATCTAAATAAACAAATCTTGGATGTCATGTTATCGTCCATAGACTTGGTTCTTCAACTTATAAATGACATACTTGATCTTTCCAAGGTTGATTCAAGAGTAATGAAGTTGGAGGCTACAAAATTTCGACCGCGAGAGGTAGTAAAGCATGTGCTTCAGACAGCTGTAGCATCATTGCAGAAAATATTAACCTTGGAAGGACATATAACAGATGATGTACCTATCAAGGTTACTGGCGATGTATTAAGGATTAGACAAATCCTCACAAATTTAATCAGCAACGTCATCAAGTTTACACATGAAGGCAAAGTTGGGATAAACCTTCATGTTATGCAAGAGCCAATTTTTTCAAAAAGCTGAAAACATACAAAAGATTACATCATGCCAATCAACCATTTCTATGAATGTAATGAAAGAAGAAAAATATCTCTTAACACCCCAAAATGAATGCTCGATGAATGGAGACAAGGAAGATCAACATCACTCAGCTGAAACAAGCGTCTGGATAGGTTGTGATGTATATGATACAGGCATTGGAATACCAGAAAATGCAAAACATAGTTTATTTAAAAGGTACATGCAAGTCAGTGTAGACCACGCACGAAAGCATGGCGGTACAGGGCTAGGACTAGCAATATGCAAACAATTGGTTGAGTTGATGGGGGTAATCTAACAGTGTCTAGCAAAGAACAACATGGTTCTACTTTCACATTCATTCTGCCATACAGGGTCTCAATTGCTTGTGATAGTTCTGATTACTCCGATGAATTCTCAGACATGAAGCATAACGAAGCCGCTTCTGATGATACAACAGAAGGTTTCTTCCAATTCCACACAAACCGAACTCACAAGCTATCGCCACACAAATTCAGTGGATTTTCCGAGAGTTCATTCTCATTTCCCGCTATTTCTAATGACATCATATCAAAAGGGACGTGTTCTTTCGATGACTCATCTTCAGTTGTTGACGCCTCAGACATGTCTGAATCAGCTAGTTCATCTAGTAATAAACATCATTTGTATAACACTCATGCATGGTTTCAAAATGATAGTGCAGATTCTTCTCAGAATATGGTGGTAAACACAACTACTCAATGTGTTAGGAGAAGTAGTAAATCAGAAGTAACCCAAATCCATATCTAAGCCTAAGATCCTTCTTGTGGAAGATAACAAGATCAACATCATGGTGACACAATCCATGATGAAGCAGTTGGGTCATAACATTGATGTTGTCACTAATGGAGCTGAAGCCGTGTGAGCAGTACAACGCTGTACTTATGACTTGGTTCTGTTGGACGTGTGCATGCCGGTTATGGAGGGAACTCCTAGCCCGTCCAAGGTTCATCCCTGCATAGAAAGATTAAAAAGAAAAAATCAATAACAGTTAATAGTTCAATTCTAAGAATTTTTAACAATCATAACCAAAACTAACAAACTCTCTAACTGCAATAACCGAAAAAAACAGAAAACAAACTGCATAGAAAGTTGGAAAGTAGAAAATTAATTAAAACAGTTCAGCTCAACAGCTTAGGAACTAAAAACTTCTAACCAAAACTTTCTAACAGAATTCTAACATAAATTTCCTAACAAACTACTTCCCAAACTGCAAATAGCCCAACTAACAGAATTTCAAACTAACTTGTAACAAAAACTAACAGCTAACTGCTCTAACCGAATTCATCTCAACCATTCATTACCTAACCAACTAATTTTAATCCAGTGGCCAAGAATGCATAATTTCTAACAGATTTTGAGAGCTATATAATAGGGGGGGATTCATACAAAGAGCATACACACATATACAATTATTGATAAACTGGTACAAAAGGCTGAGAACAGAGAACTCACCAAGAGGATGAAGAACTCTTCTCTTCACTCTTCACCCTCTCCATAAGTTCTCTCTGCAACCTCTTCTCTCAACAATTTTTTTCTCCTTATTTTCTTCATTCATCTTCTTTAACATATTCTCCTACCCCCACCTTTCAACAACTTCACTCTTCATCTCTTGCTGAACACATACTCACAGAACCTCCCACACCACAACCTCCACCTTCAATCTTCACTTTCCTTCTTCATCGTCAACCTTCAATCAACAACCATCACAACATCTTTATCCTCTCTAGGAATTCTCTGCAAATATTCCCAACACTTCATCATCATCCCCGCTACAATTACGAATTTACCGCCAACAATCACAAGATACACAAAATACAGGGAGATTGGGCGATTGAAAAAAAACAAAAAAAGTCAGAATATTTATCCCTGGAAAACTCACCAGAAAGGGATTCATTGTCAATCATTTTCAGAAGAATCACCAGCTTCTCTCTGCTTCCTTCTTCAACTCTTCGAAAGAATGACGGAAAAAATGATCAAACTCTCTCTGTCATGATGCTCTTCTCTGCACCTTCATCATCCTCCTTTGAGCTAATCAATTCTCATTCGTTTCAAAGCTCCCCAACATCACTTCTAATTCAACTACCAATTTCTCCACATAGCGATTTCTTCTGCAAATCGTTCATCAACCTTCAAAGATCTTCATCAACAAATCTGCAACCTTAACTGTCTTCAGGCCTCTTCCTTATCAATCTATGCAACGCACCTAGATTGAGGATTATCGTGACCGATTCCCAACTTCAACAACAACGAAGATGCAACAGTAATTAGCAACATAACCGTATTGAAACAGAGACAAGAAGAGTGGAGAGAGACTGAAGATTCATACCTAGAAGTCAATCTCTGGATTTCTGTTTGTTGATGCTGCCAAGATGGCATCAGACTTTCTCCGGTCGGTGAGTTCCGATCTTCGGTATTCTTCTGCTTCTTCCATCTATTTCTTCATGTTATGGCATAGCTCAAGCATATCGAAGTTGGATCCCCAAGGTCCTGAGTTTTGATTGGAAACGAGGAGGATGTGATTCAGCTTTTAGGTTTTTATATCTTCAAAGCTTATGATTCAAAGAGGAGATGAACAATGAAATTGCAAGTGGAGGAGAGAGTCTGATGAAACAGAGAAGATTGAGAATGACGAAGAGAAGTTTCAGCCACCGCGGTTGCAAGTTCGAGAAGACGAAGAGAACTTTGTTCTCGTGAGAAGCTGGACAATCACAAAATGCAACACTAATCTTCACGTATCCCTTTTTCTAATTTTGTTTTTGTTGATTATGCTTGTTTTATTATTCAAACGCAAACAAATAATGAATTGTGGAGGATCTGGTGGGTTGAGATAATGGCCTGGGCCGAATGATACTCCTCCATAGGCCCATGGCTATATTTTTTTGGAAGTTGTTTTTTGCTGAAGCTATATAAAAAAAAGGGGACTTATTGGACATTACAGGATGGGCCTAGCACCTAATATTAGTCAGATACCCTGATTTCAATACTACACCCTTGTCCTCATAATCTTTAAGATTTTATTTTTTGCATATAATTTTGTCTATTTCTTTTTTATGTTAAAATTCTAAAATCCATAAAAACTTGTTAGTTTTTTTATTTAGAAATTAATTCTTGTTTGTTTGTTAGAATTTTCTCCATATAAAAAATAATGATAAAAAAGTGGTAGAATATTTTAGAACTCTTTAGAATTTCTTTTTAGAATCTCGATTAGAGTTTCTTTTCACTATTTTATTTTTTCATATTTGGTAATCATTTTTATTGCCATTTTTAGTCAAGATTTTTGTGATAGCATCGATGTAATTCTTGCAATGTGGAATGCTCGGGGTTAATTCTTCAATCACTCGTTCGAGGAAACTTTGGTAGAATTTTCTTATCACTTGCGTGGCGTCAAAGAGGCAACGGACCTTCTCCGTTCGGTACCATCACAACTCTATTTTATTCTTCATTTCCGTACTTTATCGCAAATCATACGCGTGCTAACATTAGGTAGAATTCCTTCATTCATTCTAAACTTTAGGTCTAACAATACATAATAGCATTAGGTTTAGAAGTAGGCTAGTCCCCAGTTGACTTTTCTTTCTCCTTTTGCATTCGCACCTAAAACTAAAACTTCTTTTTTTTTTCTTTTCGAAATTCAAAACACTTTAAAACAAATGATGAGAATCATGCTTTTGCTTAGTACAGGAAACGATAAGCGGGTCTATTCTCGATCTTATTGTTCTCCATCTCAAGCATAGGTGTGGTCCACTTCTCAAAGACTCATTTCATGAATAAGTAGAGACATGGCTAAAATCTACCTCTTGAGATTAACTAGCCATTATCTACAAGCAAAAACACCAACAAATGCAAACTCTTTTTGCCTCTGGGCCTTCCTTTCAAACCTTTTTCAAAAGAACATGTTAACGCACTTCTGTGCTGACGCGTAAGTCTCCAAAGGTCGAGTTGCGGCAGAAGGCGAAATTAATATCATTCATCACAAAAACAAACAAGTTTAAACCTTTTTGTGCGTCCAGGCACATTTCTTCCCAAACTTTTCAAGAGAGCATGTTAATTCACTTCTGTGCTGACGCGTAAGTCTCCAAAGGTCGAGTTGTGGCAGAAGGCGAAATTAATACTGTTCAATAAAAAATACAAACAAACAAAAACATAAGCCGAACTACGGCTGCTCTGATTCCTCAAAAAGGATACGTAGGCATCGGGGTAGGGCCCGAACGAGCATAATTTTATTTTCCCTACATTCTTTTCTCTTTTATTTTGCATGCATTCCTTCTAGTAGTATAGTAAACAGTAAGCATAAACGAAACACACCCATAAGATAGACGACAAGAGTGGATACCATAGAGTACTACGGGCGTGTGGGGTGCTAATACCTTCCCCTCGCGTAACAGACTCCCTTACCCTTATCTCTTGGTCGTTCGACCTCGATTTCACCTTTTTCAGGTTTCCTCGATGTTTACCTTTCCCTTCTTGTGGGATAAAATATGTTCGATGGCGACTTCATTGTTTTGATGATTTTCAGCCGGTTGTTTCAGCTGGCGACTTCACTGGGGAAAGGTCGACCAAATGCTGGTCCATCCCGGAGTCGATCCCAGCTCTTGCTTTCTTTTCTTTGGGTGTCTATTTTTGTGCTTTCAGTTTACTCATTTGTATATGTTTGCCTGAGCATAAGTTTGCATTGCATTTTATTGCTTCCCCTATTTGTTATCTATTATGCTGGACTCTGTTTTCCATGTTGGGTGGGGATGTCACTATTGAGGTAAAAGGCCCAGTACCCAGGCCAGAGTGCACTAGGACACTAGGAATAGAGTGGGGGCATGACGGCTATAGGACGTGGTCCGATTAGTTCCGTCTTGTCATATACCACGCTCGGATGAGGTTCAAATGAATTACTATCGGCACCCACGTCTGTGGGTAAGCCCATAACACTTTCAAGCGGACCTGTGATTTTCGAGTTACCATTGTCTTACCCTGATCTAGTCTTCACCCGTGAGCGGGGAGGGAATTCTTATTACAGGTACAATTGGTAACTATGTTCAAATGGTTACTCGTGCTCGGATGCTGACTATGTTCAGATGGTTACTCATGTTCAGATGGAGACTGTGATCAGATGGTGATTAGTGGTTCTAATGATCATGTTATGGACTTTTGTCAATGACTTATGCATATGGTGTTCTGTTGGTGACCATATGGTTCTCAGATTTATTTTATGAGTTCCTGACTTGCTTACTTGGAAGTTCATTCAAGCCTTTGATCTTGGCATTCCCAGCATACTCATAAATGCTCAAACAGTACCTGATGTTCCTGAAGCCTTGATCTCATGCTACTTAGATCTACATAGTACTCGGCTTTTATATGTGCGAAAGCTATGTCGGACCTTTGATTTGATGATATTCATATGGTTCAGAATAACGCAACAATCATATTTGGAAATGATGGAACCTTGATCCCATTTGATCTCATATATGTGCATACATAACATGGTTAACCACATACTTAACATACATGTTTTGTGATTTCCAAGGAATCGTATTTGTAAGCCTTGTGCCAAACTTTTCCATCCTTACTTACGTAAAATCAAAAACAAAGCACGTAAATCGTTGGGAATGACGAAACATGACATGGCATTCGTTCATGCATCCCATGTATATTCATGCATCCATAACAGGTACTCAAGGATTGGGGATTCTTATTCAGACATGGTTCTCCTCAGAGGTTCAGCTTGATTCTTACTACCACATGCTCAGGGATCAGTTAGGGAATAACTCTATATGGTATACCTACAAGCTTCGGCCCGTGGACAAAAATATCTTCAAGCAGGAAGATAATTGATTGAAAACTCAGATGAGTCGGGTCATGAAAGCTCTGATGACGATGTCAACAATCTTGCACCTACTGTCACAGCAGGAGGTGGTTCTCATTTACTGTAGGATCTTATATCAGTGCTTCGTTCTTATTGACCAACGTCAGATGTGGTTGCCACACCGGGCATCAGACTTTTTAATCAGGGGCATCCTCCATAACTTTGTGTTCCCTAAATTGTTCAACAAGAGCCAGTCTTTATTCCCCAAGTAAATTCATGGGGAAAGCTTTTAAGCCAAGACACGAGAACCCTGATGAGCATGCTAATGCGAGCCCAATGCATAACATCCTATTATTCCCAATTCTTCCCAGCTCTGATCTTTGAGGACTTCCTCCCACAAACGTCTCTTCTGATTACGATATGTATGCTAGATACACCTCCTATTCTGGGGTACCCGATTTCGATATTGAAGACTATAAAGGGGTTATAAAAGCCCAACACCTGTTTGGCGTCTCTTCTAAAACTCTCTTTCACCAGGTGGATGTTTCTTTTGTTTTTATAGAAGACAGACTGTATTAGTTTTTTGTGGCGTAGTATGCCTGATGATGCAGTTTTCACTTGAAAAAGCATTCAGTGGTTCTCCTGAAAGAATCTTCTAGGCATATTATTCTGGAACAATTGATCATTTGATTGAAGAGAGTACGTCATCCAGAGACAAGGCCCAAGACGAGATCAATCGAGAGACCATAGTGTCCAAATCATATCAGAGGGAGAATTTCCTCACTCACCCCATGCATCTTCATGCATCCGTAGAGGGTACTCAGAAGGTACTCAGAATGGGGAACCCTTATTCGGATTCAGTATTCTCTTTTCAAGAACTTCCAATCTTGACGTCTCACTGCTTCATGATCAGATTCAAGTTATGAAACAACCTTGTGAGGAATTGGATGAGATAAAAAGAATTAGATGGGGCTATTTATTGGGGATATGCAAACAATGGCCTGTAGTTAGAAATCCTCAAGGAGAAAAGATAGCCAATTGAAGACTCGGTTGAGTCGGGTATGAAAGTTTTGAAGACAGTGTCGGCAAAAGAAAAGTGATAATGTATACGTTATTGCAACAGGAGCTGTCAGTCATCCCCAGCCTATGGCACTTTTTTTTAAT